TATTCATGCCTACAAAAAGTATAAAAAACAGTATAATGCAAAATTATTTGCACACTTCTTATACTCCAATAAATGCAAATATATTTAAATTTTATGCTTTAGTCAGTTGTAGATGATGATTTAATTTGATATTACACTGAATAACATTTTTAGAAAATGTTGCTCACCTGCACTGAGTAGTCTGGATCATTTTCTTGAGGTAAAGGATGAGGTGCTCCCTGCAATTCCTGAAGTTTTTCTTTTAACTTAGCATTTTCTTGCTCTTTTTGAAATAGCTGATCCTGAAGATTAACAACACTTTGCCGGAGCATAGCTTCATTTGATTTTGTGGTTTCAAAACAAATATGTAACTCATTGTAAAGCTGTTTCAAAAAAATATATCCAAACTATATTAATAATCAATAAAGCTAGTGTCCGTGTGTGTGTGTGTGTGTGTGTGTGTGTGTGTGTGTATACATAACTGTGTAAACATAGTCCTTGCCCTCAGGTTATTTTAATAGTCTGAGAGAGAAAGAAGATATAAACACAAAAAAACTAAATTTTATAATTTTTAATATTTAATTTTTTAACACTTAAATTTCATATTAATAACTAAAAAAGATGTAAGAAAGGCAACATGTCTTATTAGCCAGTGTAATTTAGGAAAAGAATGCCAAATTTCTGAGAAAGAAAATACTTTAACTTAGCTATATTAATCATGGAGGGAATTATGAAAAAGGACCTGATCTGAGCCATGACAATATAATTGGAATTGACCAAAAACAAAAATTCTAAAGATAGAAGAAATGTGAAAAACATTATGTACAATGATAGAAAAGGACAGAAAGGAGCTAAGGCTATCAGTTTAATTGGACTTAATACATACATTTGAAAGAAAACAAAATATATTAAGAGTTAATTAATGTTGAATTCTACATTCTTATTAAGTAACCTACTGCTGGGAGGAGCAGAAGGAATAATAAGAGACAAAGTTGACTGGGCGTGTTGGTTCTGACCTGTAATCCCAGCACTCTGGGATGCCGAGATGGGCAGATCACGAGGTCAGGAGTTCAAGACCAGCCTGACCAACATAGCGAATCCCCATCTCTACTAAAACATATTAAAAAATTAGCTGGGCATGGTGGGGCATACCTGTAGTCCCAGCTACTTGGGAGGCTGAGACAGGGGAATCACTTGAACCTCGAAGGTGGAGGTTTCAGTGGGCCAAGATTGTGCCACTGCACTCCAGCCTGGGCAAGAGAGTGAGACTTCGATTCAAAAATAAATAAATTAATTAAATAAAATAAATTTTAAAAAGAGACAAAGTCAAGCAATAAGACTGTAGATAGAATAGAATGTAAAAGCTCTTCAATAACAGATTAAGAGGATGGACCTGTTCTGTAGACAACAGGGAGTTACTGAAAACCTTAAACAGTGTGAAAAACTAGAAGTAACATTTTGAAGCCTTGATCAATAACTTTAAAACCTTTTTAAGTTAAGGCAATATGCATTAGATAAATTTAAAAGCAGCTCATTAAAACTATGAGACAACATATGACATATAAGTGTTATCATATAGAGAATAATATAGGGTTAAAAATGGTATGCCTCCAGCACTTGTGAACTTGCTTGGTAATGAAAATCCTAATGTATAATTGTGATTTAATGAGATATAATTCAATCCGTGGTAGTTGATTTACATACAGAATCTGTATGTATATCTGCAGCTGACACTAGAAAAGTGACCTGAGTGAAGATATCTGAGTGTGTGTGTGTGCACGCGCGCACGTGGTTTTAAAGGCTAATAGTAAAATCATATAAGAGCAAAACCTCCAAGTGGAAAATCTCAAAATTGTGTAGATGCTACAGTAAGTTTTTAGGTTTGCTCATTTAATTAAAGATACAGAACATCTTCCATTAGTTGGCCTTGCCTCATGGGAAGAAACTCACAGACATAAAAGATTATAAAACTTTAGTTCATCTAGAAACCTAGGATTTGTGTACATTTCTGTATGCATGTTATACCTCTGTTTTTTTTAATTTAAAATTTAAAAAGCCTTGTAAAACCTTTCATTAATACATCTCTGGAAACATAATTTGTCACAAAAATAAGACCCTCCAAAGTTCCACACCACTGGCATATAATTAGCTCAACATACCTTATATCTTTTATTAAAAAAATATATCTCTGGCTGGGCATGGTGGCTCACACCTGTAATCTCAGCACTTTGGGAGGCCAAGGGGGACAGATCACCTGAGCTCAGGAGTTCGAGGCCAGCCTGGGCAACATGACGAATCCCCGTCTCTACCAAAAATACAAAAAAATTACCCAGGCATGGTACCATGTGCCTATAGCCCTGCTACTTGGAAGGCTGAGGTAAGAGGATCACTTGAGCCCAGGAGGTCAAGGCTGCAGTGAGCCAAGATTGTACCATTGCACTCCAGCCTGGGTGACAGAGGAGACTCTGTTTTAAAAAAATAATAAAATTATCTATCTATATTACTGTAGAGATATATAATCCACTTCACTTCCTAGCCAAAGTCTAAGCAATTTTTTAAACGTGTTGCCTATATGATTTATTTAAAAAATTAGAACATCAATTTATACTTTCCCTTCCCATTACAGCTTTATACCAGGGAGTATGTCCAGTGTCCTTTCCACAGCTTATACCATCAGATATTCTAGGAGGGAAGAAAGAGTAGGAAGCTGACAGCTTTGAGGGGCGATGAAGAGGTCAGAGTGCCTACTTGTATTGTACTGCTGCTCTCATGAGTGGGTTCAGGGTAGAAAAGAAAAAAGCAAACCCTGCACACAAGAGCTAAACTGGCTAGGGAGAGTTGAAACTATGAGTGAGGGTCTTCTCTTCACTGCACAGTCACTTTTTCAGTGAATATTTAACCACTTTCTAATCTCGGGGGCTTTATTTACACTAACCAATGTTTACCCAATCAGTACAAATTAATCCCTCTGAGGTAAATAATAGAAGATATTATTAAAGGATTCACATAGTTCAAATATTTGAGAATCCCACGGACACTGGTAAGTGCTGACAAAGAAAACCACATACCTTCCCTCCTAATGACCAAGGTACAGGCATGATGCTAGGGTATGGTCAGGATTGAGGACCAATTTACTGGCCACTAGTGCCAAGAGTGTGGTATACCTTAGTCTTGGGTGTTACATCTTGGGACCTTCTTCCACAAATATAGGACTCTCGGTCTATTCATTTATGGAAGAAGGCTCTATCTTAACAGATCCCCTCTCTTGTCTAACTTCTGTCTTGCTTCATAAAATAGAGGACTAATAGCACTCTTCTTGCGTTCTCTAGGTTGCTCTCTCTGACATGCAGTTTAAGCAGTTGCATTCCTATTCAGAAGTTGCCCTGACTTGATGTGATATGACTGGGTAAGTAAAATTACTCTGGGACAAACTCTACGTCTTGCACCGAATATCCATCCTTCCAAGCAGCAGGTGAAAAAGAACTGAGAAAGCCCATATCAAATTAGACCAGCTTTGTTCTAAGTATTGGGACAAACTTATTCCTTAGCTTACTCCAAACATACATCTCCAACTTGCCTGTTTTCTTTGTTGGCTGACTGGATTTCATGTATTTAATAGTAATGAGATCACTCGGTTGTGAAGTTAGAGCACAGGAAGCAAAGATAGTCCTCCAGCCATTTTTAATTCTAGGCCTCAGTTCAGCAGTAAACTTGTTAAAACAGCCTTCAACAAGGTTAAATCTATCTTTATTTCTAAAGTGTTTTTTGGTGACAAGACCTCTGGGTAATAAAATGTCTACTTCTCTAGGAGATCCTGCAAGAAGGCAAAAGCTTAGAACGTTCCAGTGCCCGGGTAGATTCCATCTTATTCTCATTCCATTAATAAAAGTAGAGTTAAAAAAAAAAGTTCTCAAGTGAGTAAATTAGGCAGTATGATAAATACATTCATCCACATTGCTTTAGGCATCCTGAGTTAGCTTTTTCCCTATTAGCAATAAGACTCCTTTTTTTTTTTTAATCTTTTTTTTTTTTTGAGACAGAGTCTGGCTCTATCGCCAGGCACCGGGCTGGAGTGCAGTGGCATGATCTCAGCTCACTGTAACCTCCACCTCCTGGGTTCAAGCAATTCTCCTGCCTCAGTCTCCTAGGTAGCTGGGACTACAGGTGCACACCACCACACCCAGCTAATTTTTTTGTATTTTTAGTAGAGACAGGGTTTCGCCATGTTGGCCAGGATGGTCTCGATCTCTTGACCTCGTGATCTGACCACTTCGGCCTCCCTAAGTGCTACGGTGGCTTGAGCCACTGCGTCTGGCCAAGATTCCTTACAACAGTTTTCAGAGTGGCTCTTTTCTCTACAATTTCTTTCCTCTAATAATCCAAAAAGCTTGAATGGGTCAGAATTTTTTTTGTAAGATTCTATACTGTAAAATGTAATCATATATTATATACTTTAGAAGTATCAATCACTATAATTCATATGTAATGTATTATCCACTATTCTTCATGCTATTTTCTGTTGAAGAAATTAAAATGAAAAAGGTTAAAAAGGTCAGGAGACAGAAAGTGAGTTAGAAATAAGACTTCAAAAAAAAAAAAAGACTTCAAACTCCAACTCCTTTTATTTTTGGGGGCTTAGACTGAAGAGCTCCTTTTCAAATATTTTTATTAGTGTTAAACAACTAGGTGATATTTTATATATCTTAACAACTTTGAAAATGTATGTGTTGTTACCCAATAATAATAATTTGTTTAAGGATTAAAATCTTCCAAATTTAGTAAATATACTAAAGTCATTCCCTCAGTATCCACAAGATTGTTTCCAGGACCCAAGTAGATACCAAAAATCTGCAAATGCACAAGTCCCTTATATAAAATGGCACAGTATTTGCTTATAAAATATGTACATCTTCCTACATACTTTAAGCCATCTCTGGATTACGTATAATACCTAATACAATGTAAACAGTATGTAAATAGTTGTACAGTTTTTATATTAATTTTTATTGTTGTATTGCTATTTTTTTTTCCCAAATACTTTCAATCCATGGTTGGTTGAATCTTTGAATGGGGATGTAGCCTGTGGATACAGAGTGCCAACTATATTTGCAACACTGACTGAAACAATAAATTCTTCAAGTGAAAACTGTACTATTTATAGCCAAAAACGAGAAGCCTTATTTAACATATAATTTAATACGCTAACTCCTTATTTTCCTAGGTTGATAACAGTTTGAGTAATATCATCACCAAATAGAACAAAAAGTTATAAAATACATATTAGTACCCTAACCATGTTAAGATGGTCTAGAAATCATAAATGCTGACATAACTATCAATAACTATCAATAACTATCATAACTATCAATAGTTAAATTATATGCATGGATATAAAGGATTTACAGAGATATTAAAATATTTAAAATTATATGAATGGCTACATGCTCAGAGGAAGAGAACACCCTAGATTGCTTTTATGTATCTTGACAGGTATTTTTCTCCTAGAAGAGCCTCCCACACTATATGATTGGTAGATTCGTGTATGAGACTAATGATTTGTTATGGAGAGCTCTGGGAAAACATGACTCACCTCTTTTCTGTGCTCAAAACCTTTTTCCAATTTTCTTTCTTTACCTTTGTCTACCCTCCCCAATCCCCGAATTCTACCACTTGGGACAACTGTTTTTATCTTTTCAGATAATTAAACAGATATTATTATACATATCTACTTAATAAATGAGAAATAATAGGGAATGGAAGGGCAAGAAAAAGGGGTGAAGAATTGAGAGAAAGTGAACAGAGGAAACAAACTTCATTAGAAACAGTAGCTAAGACCTGACTCTTAAAGAAGCTTAATAAGAACTGAAAATAAATTGTTAGTGTAATATTTTTTAATTCAACTCACTTGAGTCTTACAGCTAAATCTCAATTATTATTTGAAAATATTAAAATAAATCTATATGAAAATATGTTTGAAATTTTGAGTAAATAATTTCATCTCACTATTGCAAGATTATTCAAATTTGTTGGAAAAAATCTAAAAATATGTGTAGACAAGGGCAAAAGACAATTACTACATATAATGCTCTAGATTAAGAATGAATAATCTGATATAAATGAACACTAAAAGTCTGAACAATAGCACACCTGACAAGGCAGTATGATCATTCCCAAATTTTAAAATCCTGCACTACAAAACTACTACATTTCTGAGGAGAAAAAAACAGGGTCAGTAAAAAATCTTCAGATGCTCAAAAAGTTTAAAAGTGTGATGTAATAGCAAGATAAAAGAAACCAAATGTGTACAATCAGGAGGAACAATGGCTAGAGAAGGCTGAAAGCCTTTTCACAGAGGAAGGTAACATGTTATACTCTGGTCACCAAAAACACTGTAGTGGAATCTTCTGAATAACATTTAACGTAGATATGAGGATAAATATTCCAACATTAGAAATTATTAAGCATTGAAAAAATTTGGATGAGAATAGATAATGCAAGTTTGTAGAATCTGTTTAATAAGGCTTTTAAGGATAAGATATCATCTTTCCATTTATAACTTAACTATACTGTGGGCTTTCTAATAAAGTTTAAGGATTGCATTCTGGACCCAAGATTACCTACATCTGAATTCTATGCAGGTAGCTATTCGACTTTAGACAACACTCTAAGCTTCAGTTACCTGACCTATAAAACAGGGATAATAATAACAATACCACATCGGGTTGGTTCGAGGCTTAAACAACCAGGCAAAAGACCTACTGCCAATGTCTGATATGCAATAAGCTAAAACATGTTAACTATTATTATTATATGGTTACTAGGAGCAACTTACATTTTTACCTCACTTTACATAATACATTTCTAAAATAATTTGTATAAACAGAAACTCAGATTCTCCCTGGCTTATAGCACAATTTTACATTCTTTCTTTATAACTGTGATCTAACTGGAAGGAATTCTCATTTGTATGTTGTTTCTCCACATTTTTCATCACCACAGAACCATTCATCCCTTGGTAATATGCAATTTAAATAATACTCTAGTCCATTTAATGGACTTAATACTCTTAATAACATGGACTTAATACTCTTAATAACATTCTAGTCCATTTAATGGACCAGAGTAATATTTAAATTAAAATATAAACATTGCCATAAAGTTTTAAAATACTGTTACAATTATGATTTTTAAATTGTATATCCAAAGTGGGACACCATAACATGCAATGTCTCAAGGTTCAGTAACTTAACGTTTACTAATCATGTAGTAGGCAGCTCCCCTCAAAATCCATGACCCCCATACATTCTTATTATGGAATAATTTTAAAAGAATATGTTATGTAAGAACTACTTAAAAGTGAATTGGGCCAGGCACAGTGGCTCAGACCTATAATCCGAGCACTTTGGGAAGCTGAAGCAGGTGGATCACCTAAGGTCAGGAGTTTGAGATCAGCCTGGCCAACATGGTTAAAACCCCATCTCTATAAAAAAAACAAACAAAAAAAGTGAATTGCTCATGGTTAATACAATGTTATAGTCTCAGAAAAAGAAGTCTTCCCTGGGTGGGTAGGGGGTAGGTCAGTGTGTGCGTGTGTGTGTGTGTGCGCGTGTGTGTGCACGCGCACGCGCGCACGTATATATGTGTGGTCAATGCATTCTAATGAATAGTAATAATCTGAACTGACAACAAAGAGATGTTTATTGCAGTTTTATTTACAATAATAAAACACTTGAATAACATATATAACACTAGAAAAATAATTAAATTATGACTGTCTAAAATAGTTATATGTTATGATTTTTAAAAATATAATGTTAAAGTGAAAAATATTAGTGTGCTCACAGGCAAGTTAACATGCATTTTTAAAACTGAAATATTAAAAATGTTCACAGTATTTACCTCTGGGAGATGGAATTATAAAAGACTTTGTGTTTTTGTTTTTGTTTTTAAATAACTATATATAGCTACCAAAATAACTGTAATGTCTACTAACTGTAAACAAAATTTGTAAAGAATAAATAAAGGAAAATATTTTCAAATTGAGTCTAGTTGAGGATACTAATGAAAACTTTATGAACAACTATAAGCATCTAAAATAACTTCAAAATTAAAATATGACTGCAGGAATTACGATTTCAAAGTGAGATCATCTTAAGTTTCAGTGAAGCCCCCAAATCCCATGCTACCCAAGGTAATATCTGAGACACAAAAATAAAAGAAAAGTGAATTTCAATCTAGAGAAAAAATGACAAAAAAATAGACTAAACCCAAGGAAAAGCAAACCAATTATTTTGTTGTCTTCCTTTTTTTTTTCTGCCTCAATACTATTCACAAACACAACATACCCCCATCATTTACATCTTTCATTTTCTATAATGATTCTTGGAAGGGATAAACATAATCCTAGAGGAAACGTGTGTAAAGTTTCAAAATGTACCCCAGATCACAATTTAGGTTATGGCAAGTTCTCCAAATAGGGGCATATAAGTTCTACTTCCCAAATTTAGTAAAGGCATACACTAAGGAATTTATGGTTTGAACAAGAGTTCACTTGGAAAAGCTATGAGAAATTAATTTGTCTCTGATATTTTATATTCTCAGAAAAGTATTACTAGTATGACACCATCAAGAAGAGCTTTCTTTCTTTATTTTTATTTATTTATTTATTTATTTATTTATTTATTTTTGAGACAGAGTCTTGTCGCCAGGCGCCAGGCTGGAGTGCAGTGGCGCAATCTCAGCTCACTGCAACCTCCGCCTCCCGGGTTCAAGCAATTCAAGGAGAGCTTTCTTTATCCTTAGTCTTGGAACTGGCCCCCAGTTACGCTCCCATACTTCCTTCTACTACTATTATAACATACGTCATTCTTACTTCTACCATTTAATTTCTGCTATCAACTAATTTTAAACTGTAAGGGTTGTAAAATAAATGAAGTAAAATGGTTTATATGCAGATAACTGGGCAGGAAAGCTTTCAGGCACGGGAAGAAAGTGTGCCTTGAAAGGTTAAATAAATGTTCAAGGAACAAAAACATGGTTTGTGGTGCTGAAGTAGAGTGAATAAAAAGAGAAGGCAAAGATGAGATCAGAGAGGTTATGTGCCAGAACATGTAGGGTCCCACAGGTTGTAGTAAGAACTTAGGTTTTTAATTTTTAATGGTCTGGGAAACCAGTGGAGGCACTTGAAGAGAGGAGTGATCTGATTTGACTCACAAAGTTTCGACAAGAATATCCTAGCACCTATGTTTAGAACACTCAAAAGGCTTAAGATCAAAGCAACGAAACTGGCAAGTTACTACAATAATCCAGGTAATACATAATAGTGACCTGGACAGAATGGTGAAACAAGGGTGATGGGAAGTAGTCAAATTCTGCACCTGCATTGAAAACATAACAGGCAATAGCTTTGTTCTGAACACATTCCAAGTGAGATGCCCATTAGGCATCCAAGTGAAGAGACATTAAGTAGACAATTAGATATACTCTTTCCTAGAATACACTGAAGAGATCCAAGGTAGATAAACAAATTTGGGAATCGTCAGCCTACAGACACAGGTTGAACATCCAAATCCAAAAATCTGAAATGCTCCAAAATCCAAAACATTTTTGAGCACCAGTATGATGCTCAAAGGAAATGCTCACTGGAGCATTTCAGATTTCAAATTTTCAGATTTGGGATGCTCAGCCAGTAAATGTAATGCAAATATTCAAAAATCCCAAAAACTCAAAATGTAGAATATTTCTGGTTTCAGGTTCCAAGCATTTCAGATAAGGGATATTCAACTGTAGAAGAATTCTGAAAGTCAAGGTGATTAGATAAAATCACCTAGGGTGTGAGTTTAAACAGGAAGAAAAAAAAAAGAGAGATCCAAAGACTGAGGCCTGGGACATTTTAACATTTATAGGACATGGAGACTGGGTAGGACCAGAAAGAAACTAAAAAGAGACAGTCAGAAACTGAAGGAAGAAAACCACACAATTATAGGACACTGGAAGCCAAGAGGGGAAAAAAAAATATTTCAAACAACAGAAAGTTATCAAGGAGGGAATAAGAGAAAACAGTTAAAATTATTAATAAGGTATAGTGTTGCAAATCCTTTTAGCAAGGGGGCCTGGTTTAGAAACAAAAAACACAGTGGGCAATCCCACCCGTGAAACAAAAAGGTGGCACTGCTGTAGCTGAAATGGAGAGAATAGACTGTATCTTCCTGCTTGGTATTATCTAGGGAAAACGCAAAGGGAACACAAAACACACTGAAAACCACTGTTACAAAGCATCATTTAAAAATATGTGTTTACGTTTTAAGGTAATTTATACCACATTAATTATAGACATTGAATTTTCAGTGATTTTTTTTTTAGAACAAGAGTAAGATCCAAAGGAAAAATCCAGTAATTTTAGAGAAATAATATGAACTGTATTATTTAACGTCTCTAAGCCCTACTCACCTCAACTATTAATATTAAATTAGAATAACACTATATAAATTATGTATATAAATAATTTAGCACTCTATACAAAACATATGAAAAACTCAATAAAGGTATTTTTTTTAATTACTAGATAAAATTATTGCTGCTGAGTCAGTCAGCACACCTACATACTTGGGTAAACCTTCTTGAAGGGTTCCTAAAACAACTGTAAAGTAAAAGACTACTGAACGGAAACACACAAAATAAACAGAGAAAAATATTGATCCTAAAGAACTCCTCAGTAATCCCCTTTGTGTTTGTGAAGATTTGCCAAAAAAAAAAAAAAGTACAAATTTTATAATGAAAGTCTACCTTAAGTCATAAACTAGAATCATACTTAACAAAATAATTTCTTATAACAGCAAGCTGAGGAATTCCATTCTCCAAATCCTTTCCCATTTTGAGACTATACTCAGTATATTTCACAGTAGCTATCTCAATACCACTTTATAAAAATAATACTCTACAGAGTAAATTTTATCTATATATTAAGTGAATCAGCTCTAAAAACCATAAAGAAAACTCACAAAATTTTAAATGTTATCAAATTGAACCATCATTCACTTCTAATTTCAGGAAACATATGTATAAGGAAGTAATAATGAAATGCTGAAATTTGAAAAAAAATCTAAATTCTATATGTTTATAAGTTCATAGACATACTTTGCATCTTTATTACAGAATAAAAGCATACTTTTTGATATGATATACTTTCAGCTGTGTGAGCATCTTCCTGATTTCTCAGTACTTTTTGTGTGTCCATATTGAGAACCTGAAGCTGCTGGATCAGCTCTGCTTGCTGGGCTGTATGTGTACTGTTCTGTTTGTAAAGATTCTGCAGCTCCTGCAATTCCTTCCTGTGCAAAGCAAGTAATAAACAGAGAAAAGTATGGATAAAGATCATCTCAGTTAAATAATTGTGTTCATCTAAGGTTACAGATTGGCATTCTATTTTTCATCTACCATTATTTGTACTGCAGGCAAACTTATTTATAAAACAAATAATAAAGTATTTAATATTTATCACATACACCTAGAAAGTATTGATAGAACTACTATGACTTTCAAAGCCAGATACATATTAATTTTTTGTAGCTTGATAGTAATAAAAACCCTGGATATACATAGTACCACCTTTTATTTAAATTAAGTAAATGCTTCAGTTTCAAGAATTAACAAGTAGTGAGGTTAACTATGGTTATTAGACAGTTTTGAACAAGGGGACATCAACCTTATATTATTATACAGAACTTTAAATATATTAAAAAGAATCCCAAAGGGCATATTTTAAGTTTTGAAACCAAAGTTCCTTAAAGCACAACTGCCAATTCTAGTTTGTAAGCTAAGGGTCCTGGGCTGGGATTCCTGTGACTCCTCTAATCCAGCTTGAAGGAACTGATGAGGTAAGAAAGTCAGAAAGTCACAAGGAAAATCCAGTCCTTCTAAGCTACCCAGGATGAAACTGATAACAGGAGGACAAATGAACTGGTGATGGCAATGATGGCACTAAGAGTCGAGGAGAACTGCACCTTAGAGATAGAGGTTTTCAGATTGCTGTGGTAGTGAATCCCGTGTGATACAGATCATACGAAACTGAAAATTC